AAATAATGATGGTCGAATTTTAGAGGATACATCATTTCCTTTGAGACAGGGAATTTGATTCTGGGAGAGCTTTGGGGTTTTATGTTTTCTTTGGGAGAGTGCTATGACCTGTTGACGTGTCAGCTGGGGAGATAAAAGGATTGAAGAATGTAAGAGCACAGGCTACTCTGCTGCTGAGCTGCTCTTCACAGTCACATAGGCTTTAAGCCTGGAACTCGTTCACGCTACACCATGGCAGTTTTTTTTCCCCCAAACTGTGAAGATCGAAGTGTTGAAAATTAGAAACCAAACCAATAATTGCAAAGGGAAGCAGTAATGATATTGGGTAACATGTGTATTGACATTAGCATGCATGTTATGATGAAAAAGTACCCTTGCCCGACCTAATTTGCCTAGTCTTTATCATACAGTTAGTTGAATTGTAGGGACCAACCAAATCACGCATTCTAATTTGATGAAACTCTGCATGCTTGGAGAAATTGGTTTTGAGCTTTACTCAATCTCTATGTCCAGCTTTTATGTTTCCTTAAGCAGGCTGAAAATGGCTTCATGCCTGAACTTTATTTGCCCCCTTTACCACTAGCACCCACATGATGGTAATAGATTGGGTTGGCAATAGATTTTTTTCCCACAATATTTAAATGGATAAAAAGTCTAACCAATCAACCACTTTAAGATATTTGAAATTTTTAGGGATTTCTAAACTTTTATTTTTTTGAGATTTAATACATCAAATGATTTTCAGATATCATCTTTTTTAAAAAAAAAATTCAATTCGGGTATTTTGAGATAAAAGTTTTTACATATATTTTGAAAAAAATTGATGCCTTTTGTATGAAAACCCCAAAAATTTTCAAAATCGAAAACTATATTTATTTATTTTTATCATTAAAAAAATAAAAATAAATAAAAAAAATGTCAAATATTTTGAGGAGCTCTATATGAATCTCGCTAAATGATTTTCACTATAAAACTATGAGATTGTTATTTTTATGAGATAAATAACAACAAACTGAAGCATGTGCTAAATCTAAAACAAAAAAGTTTAGAGATTTTTAAAACTAATAAAAAATTCAAAAATTCAGTCATAAATGACTTAAAGTTCGAGTCGTTAGATTCTTTTAGCCTATTTAAGTTTATTACTCACTTTCAACTTCGATCTAATTGGATTGAGCATATAAAGAGTTTTATTCACCTAATAGGTATGCATCGGATCAAACCTACGTATAAAACCATAAAAACCTTCGTGAATCATGAGATGAAAATCCATACATTACATTGACAAATAAAATCACAACTCTACAAATTAAACAGAAACAAGTAAAAAAAATCGAGTCAGGTGATGGGGTTGAACCCTTTCCACATTCGACTCCAATTAAACATGATCAAATTGTATTGGTTTTCAATTTGACTTTAATCATACTAGATAAAAATCCAATCTAACGAAATCTGATATTCGTATTGAATGAAATTACAATCCCTACTCATCTATCCTTTTCTAAAGCCCAAAAGTAATTCGTTTTTTTTTTTCTTTAAAAAACAGAGCCTATGAGTAAATTATAAATTAATTTCTTTTGTTTTAAAAACTATTATCTAATCTTTTTAATTAATATTGATCATGCTTGATTTACTATTATTTTTAGTTCATAAATTAATCTTTCTATAGTTTCAAAAAAATTTCTTATTTTTTTAAAATAAAAAATCAAAATAAATTAAAAAAATGAGTAAAAATAATTAAATTATAAATAAATTTAAAAATATGAAAACTAAATAATTAATTTTTAAAACAAGAGAGATGAATTAATTCCTTTGTCGAAAAGAAATTGACTAATTTATAATTTTCTCTGTTTTGAACTAAACCTTTTTTTTTTTAACCAAGTAATTAAGATAATGTTTCGTTCATTCCTAAATCTCATCATATAATATGAGATCTCAAATACAGGTTCCAAGGTTTAACCATTGCGAGGTTCTTAAAGACAAGGTTTAAAATTCGTTCATCAATCGAATTAAATTTTTAAAAGAAAAAAAAAGTGGGTGGGGGCAGACCACCACAACAACCAACTTAACTAACTATCATTATGTTCAAAAGAGCAAGATCTTCTAAGCCACAGAAGGAAAAATGTAAATGATGTTCGGAAAGGTCAAAAAAAAAAAAAAAAAAAAAAAAAGAAGGAAAATGTAAATGTAAATGGGGAGGCAATTTTTTAAGGCATAGGAGATGGTGTCGTAAAAAGTAATTGATTGCGATACTGAGGAGTCACCAACCACATGCATGCAAATGACAATACATAATGGTACATCCAACCCACCATCATTCGCATCTTCATTCATTTGTCCTCTTCGTTAGGAAAACTTTATTTATGAATAAATTTTTATTCCTCCACCCACTCGCCGTTGTGGGTACATTCAGTATTATATTACTTACCCACTTTTTTATTGACTTTTTATTTTTGATCTTGGACGGCAATTTTTTTTAACTCAAGAAAATCCTTGGAACCTTTTTATTTTGGTTACTACTAAATACACAATATATTTTGTTATTTTTATTGAGATTTTTGTTAAAAATTACTAATACAACACCTTCATATCAAGTTAAATATTAGATAATAACTACACGTAAAGATTCATTAGCAACTTACAACAAAAAATTAGTGAGAATAATAAAAAATATGATGAATTTAACAACACTCTTTTATTTTTTACCACCATCTTTTGGTATTGCCTGTTTAAGGTGCAAGTTCTGGAACTGGAAATCTTCTTTCGGAACAGAATGAGCAGTTGATTGAGAAAAGCTGAGAAAGTTTTTAATAAGGCCCGGGTAAAATTCTTTAACTATTTATTGGCCCAATTTGTGACTACTTTAGAAATAAGCACCGACATAGAACGTCGGTATTTCATGGATTCCCATCACAGGAGACGCAAGCCCAACTTTCTGTGCTTGTAAAAGGCATACAAGCAATTCTCATAGCCAAATTTGAAAACCAAAAGGAGCTACTATTGTTTGCTTCTTCATCATCATCTATCTTTTTTGAATTTTATTTTTCACTTACCGAAGAAAATTCTCGCAGCTCCAAATATTGTATCTTAAAAAAAAATTAAAATTAAAAAAGCTCCAAAGGTCATTGAGTATTTCAAACTCGATTTCCATCTATGAAGCTGCTGCTGCCTAAAAACAAAAGAAGGACGGAAAAGAAACATAAGGCTTGATGCTTTTAAAGGAAGAGTGAAGAGAAAGCAAGTAGTCCTTTGAAGGATGCAAAATGTGCCAGTTTTAAACTAGAAACATTTCGGATGACGTATGAGACACAAAATGAAACAATTTTACAGGCATCTTTTTTCGATTCGTTAAATGCTTTGAATGTTCGATGAGAACTGCAATTTCCATTGTCACTGCAGTTTCCACTATCATGATGATGATGAAGTGAGTCCCTTCTATGTTCAATCTCACTCGAAGCCTCGACTCCAAACAAAAAAAAGGCTTTCACTTAAGATGTTTTTTTAAATTTTATTATAATTTTAATAATCAAACAATCACAGGTTCTGAGTTTTACTATTTTTATTTTCTTTTCTAATTAAAAAATTAACTACTTTGTGGTGAATCAGTCTAAATGTCAAATTCAAAAGAAAGTTACTTGAGAAAATGTTTCAGAAAGTAATAATAAAATCTTTCTTAAAGCTTCCTAATAGCTTACATTTTTTGGTTGAAAGTTCTTGAAACAGCCTGGAGGGATGGATAGCGGGTTCTTTAGCATGAGATTTGTATACAGGGCCTTTTTTTCCAAGGGACTTAGCAGTACAGGCTAATGACTCTAATTGGGCCTTAGGCCTTTGCTTTTTTTTTCACTCAATTTCACAAATAGGTTCTCATTTTATTTTCCGAAATTGACCAATCGTTGATCAGTGTCATAGTTGAGATATGTAAAATAAAATAATGTTAAAAAAATCAATATTTTGACTAATTTTTCCCGACCAACTGATATGGGGTTGATGAGTATTACTTCGTTGATCACATCATTCCATAATTGTTGGATGAGGTAAGCAAACTTACCATGTTTTGAAACAAAAAATTGTTAGAAATCAATCACATATATAGTTTGATTGGAGAATCTTCAGGTGGGACGGGATCATGGAACAAGGTTATTTTGTTTAGACTCTACATTTACTCGTATAATATTTATTTGCTTGTAAATCATACTGGTTTCTGAAAAGAGAAAAGTCAACTATCACCACCCCTTAATAAAGGGTGCCAAGCCTTCCTAGTGAAATAGGAGTCCGTGAAAAAAACTCCCAACCAATCTTTGAATTAATCCTCTTTACTACCCAGAAAGATCACATACAAAAAATATTCCACGGATAAAACAAACTTGCATAAACTAAATGAAAATATTATTTGAATCAACGAGAGGGACTTTAAAAAATTGTACGAATTGTTTAATGCATTATCCAGGCAAATCAAGTCTGTGTCAAATGGGAATCCGGTTTCTTTGTCGTCCTTTTGTTTTAGGACATGCATGTACTAACAGAGATATAGAACTGGGGACTTGCAGAGGATAATTCTTTGAATTCACCTATGAATCACCCCATGACAGCCGAATTGGCTTCGTCAGTACCGACCACTAGTAGCTGGCCAAGGCATATGTTCCCATCATCCAAAGAAGGGGTTCTTTTTGGTTGCTGCTGATATCGTTCAATCAACTGCGAGTATGCTAGTTCAGAATTTCAGAATTTAAATACCCCACCCATGGATGTTTAGCTTAGTGATACTCTCCTAAAGAAGAGGGAGTGTGGTCCCGAGTTCAAGTCCTATTCTTGTCATCCAAAGGATCAAAAGGAAAAATTTTGAACTACTCAAAAGTGTAGAAAATCCATGAGATTGTATCATTGCATGGAGGCCAGAGATGAATGTTTTTTACGTTTGCATAAATGAATCATATATATTCACCAATGTGTTAAAACTGCATAGTTCAAGCAATCTTGTTCATCTCTTGTGTATGGGTACATCAACTGCAAAGCTCAGAGCATAACTGCTGAACCTTGGAAGAGTCGTTATCAGACAAATAATACAAGTTGCTTTTCCCGTTGCTCAAGCACGTCAGGTTAAATTGATTTCCAAGTTGCGTCGACTGGAAAAACAACAGTTACATGAATAGAACACAGGATGCTGATAACAATTATATTCAAGCAATCAAATAAATAAAAAAGGCACAGTACACCAGTAGTCATTGCACAAAGCACTGCAAAAATACACACACAAACAGTTCTATATATATATCCATCCACTTTTGGAAATGATTTTTTTCATTTTAAAACTTTTAACGCCATTGATTAAAACACAAGGCTGGAGCCTTCCATACTATTTTGTTGAAAGGTCATACGGCATACCTAAATTCTCGTACCAATAGTATATGTTTTGTTTCCAATATTATAAATAGCCACAAGCAGTAGGAGGAATTTTTTTTTAGTAAAAGCTTTATCACTATTAAGAACACATATCCAGATAGAAAACTAAACTGATGAAGAGAATACAAGAAGAGGGGGGGGGGGGTTATAGTTACCTGACAATAAACTTGCTGTGATTTGCAGTTCCATAACGAAGTAGGGACGCAGCTCAAATAATGACACCATGAACAGTTATCTTTCACATTAACTTCTCGAAGGAGTGCAACCAGCCCAAGAGTAAATCTGAAATAATTGCATTATGCCCGATAAGAAAACTTCTAAATATAACAATTCCATACATCAGAAAGCCAAATGCAATTTCTCAAAATGATGTCCTCAAATGAACCCATTACAAATGGTGATAACGTAGCTAGTGATGCATTCTCTCAACCTTTTGTTGGTAACTTAATCGGGGAACAAGCATGGTAATAATTGAGGAGATTAAAGACAACAAATTGACTTCCCAGTCAAATCATCTCGATAATAGAATGTATAATCTAAAATACAGTTCCTGTTTGAAACAATGGGATGAAACCACTGAAAGTTCACTTGCAAATTTTAAAATCCAAGCGATGAAAAATAACTTACACAGTGATGAGTACTATCAGAGATACAACCAACAGTACATACTGATACGCCTTGTGTTTAGATTTAGCTGGGGGTGCAATGTATCCTGGAGGACATGCTTTTTGGTTGATCCACTTAAACTGGGGGCGAATTAAGAACACAAAGCCCAGAAAAAAGCCAGAGAGAAATCCTCCAATATGAGCAAAGTTGTCTACATGTGGGAGGAGTCCAACCGCTAGATTTATTGCAATGATGCAAAGGAGAGTCAACAATGCTGCCAACTGCACACAAAAATCTGCAAGCATAAGACAAATGGGCCACATGCAAAGCAAACTTCATAACTGAAATTTTACAAGGAAACCTGTTGTATTCAGGGAAGTCAAATGTACCTTATTTGCATATATGGTCCAATTTGTAATCAGCTCTGAAAGCATGCCTCCCAGTAAACCAAAAAGTGCACCAGAGGCACCAACAGAGATACCTGTCTGAATAAACAAAGCCGACAACAAACTCCCACCAAAGCCAGATATGACATAGACCAAACCAATTCGCACTGTAATAATGGAAATTGAAAAGGTAAATTATAACTTTGAATCGCGAAAGTATAACTAAATAACAAAATGAAGCAATTCCATTCGTGAACTCAGGGATTCTTTCCCACTACTTATTATTCAATTTTACATTAACATCCTCCATAAAACTCATTACACGCATTTATTGAACATCTGCAATTATAATTCATTCTACTGCTACAGAGAATTCCTAGCATATGACTGCAATAATCAAGCAATTAAAAAGTTGAAAGAATTCTTCTGAATTTCTCTCACTGTATGTAGAATTATCAGTGACATTCAATACATACAACTCCAAAAAGTTCCACCATAATCCCTTTCAAAAGTTTTCAGCTCAAACCAGGCAACAGAACTATAAAAATAAGATATTCTATCAGCATTCCAATTCAATACAGTGCACAATTATGTTTTCATCTCGTCAAGTCAAGTGAAAATCCAACATGTTCTATATCTTTTTGTGTTGCTATCTATACCCCAAGAAAGAATTACAACAATCAATCTCATTCCACGTTTAAATGCAAAATGGATATGGAACTAATTCAATGTTTTTTCTTGAGCACATTCACAAACACGTGTCCCTCGGTGAAAGTTGTAAACTTTGTAGACATAGCACATATATGATTTGAACACAATTAACAATAGAGGTAAATACATACAGAACCCAAATTCCTGCTCAAGACGAATTCCAATGAAGAGGAGACTCAACATGTTGGCAAGCACATGGAAGACTCCAGCATGTAACCATATGCAAGAAATGAGGCGCCAACTCTGGTGTTTATGCACCACTTTATTCACATCTAAAGCTCCCATCTTCTCCAAACTGCAGAAATAAACAAATCCATTGAAAATGTTAATAAAAACCCAATAAATAAGCAAACATTCAAATTAATAATATTTTGTAATTTGAGGGGGCTCACGTGGATGAGGAGGGACCAAGAAGAGGATTTTCTTTGAGAGGCTGAAAGGAGAATCTGCCCAAAGAAGGAGCAACACAAGAGCCAGAATTGGTTGGGCAATCATTGACATACATGACGGCAATAAAGACAGCAATGTTAGTCACCACGAATAAAGGAACAAGCCATGGCACCCATTTCTTGAAAACAGATTGGTTCTGGAACTGGTTCCCGTGCGGTGGTCCTGCCGGGCTTCCCGTCCTTGGATGCACCTTTATCTCCACACTGTCATTCCCAGCTCCCTCTCTCTCCTTCATCTTTGTAATTTTCTAGAATTGATTGATCAATTGTGTTTCTTCTTCATCAGAAAATCGACATTGTTGGTGCAGCCGGAGAGGGAGAGAGGGTGGGGAAGGTTGGGTTTTTTCGGATTTGGCTTTTATTATTGCTATGAGAGGAGAAACCAAGAGAGAAGAAATTTGGTTAATTAATTGGGTGCGGAAAAGTCACAATTGGTATTACGGGTTTATCTATTTTCTTTCCTTAATATTTTTTTGTTGCTCATTTCGCACGTATTCGGTTTCCATTTGAGACAGATTGGTATGCTATTTTTTGTTTTTTTCCGTTGCCGACTTTTTTTTTATTGTTTTCTAAATAAATTAAAACTTTAAATATAATATATAAATATTTTATAAAAAGATGTTCATTGTATCATTGGGTGAAAATCGAAAAAATGCAAAAGATAAAAAGAAGTGTAGTCTTTCATGTGACATGCAAAATGAGTGAAAATCCCAAATCCTTTAAGCACAATAACAGAGGTCATGTCTAAGAGAGAGATCCAAATTAAGAGAAAATAGAGAATATTTCTCTTTCTATATAAAACTAATTTGAAATCTTCGTCTAAGAGTGATAAAGACGCGATTAATAAATATAATTGAGATTGGTTTATATGGAAAAGAAAAGATTTGTGAATGGAAATCTTGAAATACAAAATAATCTGTTGTTTTTTATTTATTTAGAAAATCAATACTATCACATGTGTTCCAATTTTGTAACAAAAAGAAACTCAAAATGCATGGCTTGGTTATTAAGAATTAAAGGTTTAGAATAAGAATGTAAAAATGGAAATGAAAATTTAGAAATCGAAATGATATTTTAATTTCAATACTATTTGAAATAGTAATAAAAAAAAATTAGAGTAGAATTTAAAAATTTTAATTTTTTTATTTTTAATATAAATAAAAATAATAAATAAAAAATAATTTCATCAACCATGATGATAGTAAAAACTTTAAAAATAATTATAATGGTGGCAATAATAATAATAATATGTTTTAAAAAAAGTTGATGCCAAAGAAGAGTTGCGATGGCTATAATATAATAAAAATAGTGGTGGTAGAAGAAAAATAATGATGAAATAATTATAATAATAATTTTTTTATCACCCTTATAAATAATGACAGCAGCGGCAAAAGTTGTAAAAATAGTTAAAAGATGATAAATAAAAATAATATTATATTATTTTAAAGAAAATTTTTTTATTTTTATTTTCATTTTCTTTTATAAGAATGAAACCATATGAAATTTTTATTTTCATTCCTATTTTATTTTTTTCAACCAAATGACTAAAAGAAAAAAAATAATTTTCATTTTCATTATTCTATTTTTTGTTACCAGACAATAAATATAAAGCAAGAAATGACTTTAAAACCACTCAAAGAAAATGAAGAGGTTATATAGTCTTTTAGATTGGACAACTAACTATAGTAATTGTTCAATGTTTGATTCGAAGGCAAGTCCGGGCGCATAAATTTTTCGGAATTAATATGGGTCAAGCAAGTGTGCATTTAAATTTTAGCAAAATAAATAATTTTTTTTTAAATTGCTAAAAAAATACGTGTTTCTGAAAAAAAAATGTATAGTCTGTTTTAACTGCTTAATGGCATAATTTACCTCTAAATTATTGAAATTGCAGTAAAATAAGACTTAAATTATCAATTTAGGCTATTTAGACTTAAAACTACTAATTTTTAAATAAATTTTATCATTTTTTGTTATAACTAACGGTTAAAGTATTGATTGTTAAATTTTTAAGATAACTTCTTTTTAAGTATTTTATTTTTTTAAAAAAATAAAATTTATTTAAACAAATTAAAGCTGAGTTTTTTTTTTTTTTTGGCTAGATATTACCGAACTTTACTACTATCTCAATAATTTGGAGATAAATTATGTTATTAAACCTAATTTTAACTAATCACAGACTGCAAATCAACATCTACCCGATGATAATGTTTGGTTAAATTATTTGAGTACGAAACTGTAAATCAACATCGTTCACAGCATCGAACTACCTATCCATGCCTTTTTTTTTTTTTTTTTTTAGAATACCCATCCATCCTTTCTCCTATTATCGATCTGAGCCCTGTTTGTTTAAAATTTAGTATCTAAGTTGTTAGGGAGAATTCATGTCTAAGAAGCAATCATGACCCTCTAGCTGTATAATAAAGTACTCAACAGCTTTGCCTACCGTTTAAATGCCATGATTCATGTAGGCCATCGGAAACAAACTAATCAATGATCATTAGCAGGAATTCTAAGTGCTTAATTTGTTTGGTCACCGGTGAAAGGTCGGGCTTCTGTTAGCTAGGCTAGAGCTCTTGTAGGTGTTGGGAGCAACTACCAAGTTAGCTCCGTTATGTTTTGGATTAATATTTATTTAAAGTTGTCAAAAAAAAAAAATTAATGTTTCAGAAAATCAATAATTATGTAGTTTTTAATGATTTTAGCTGATTCTTTAAATTTTATATAGAAAGATCATCAACTAAATCTCCGATAATAATACTATTATAGATTTGATTTTTCCATCAAAATTCCAAGCAACATGACAAATCACGAAACATGATAACTGAATTTTAAATGACATATAAGATTTATATAAGTAATGACGTGAAAAATCAATTACAAAAACTTAAAAGACATGTTATCCCCAATATATCCAAATTATATCCAAATTCTCAATTCCTAATTCAAATTAATTCTAACTCTTTGTTCTTCATTTTAATTTTCCATAGCATGCCTATTAGCTCTTTCTTTCAATTTTCCTAATGGCATTCTATCACCTTCACATGTTAATAGATATCTATATAAAGTGGATATGCATATCTTAAAATCATCTTATAATTTTTTTTACTTATTTATATTTATCTTAATACTTATTAAATATTTTTAATAAATATTTATTGAGTCAGTAGAGTGGAAACTCGGCTCATATCAAATTCATTGCCATCCCTACCTATGCTTATTTCATTCGTGTAAAAATGATAAGAAATGGTGATAAAAATAATAGAAAGACTAAAAGGTGCAAATCTAGACCGTGCATATAGTGTTGTAAAACGCAAGTTTACGTTATGATATGTTTACGGCCAATATTAATTCAGTCATGATTTCGAGAAAAGGTGCCAAACATAATAGCCTTGTAACATTAAACATTTTAAACCATACAATATAAAGTGAAATATTGATGAATCTATACATGCAACTGAAGTTACCATTTATTGTTTTATAGTTCTTTATAAATGCTCATTGGTAATGGTGACTCATATAATTTAATATATGAATATTAATTTCGGCAGAAGATTAACATTAACCAAGGGGGCGTCTGGTATACTTATTTTTATATGTCATTCTAGATTGTTATTGTCCAAAAAATCGTCTATTTTGATTTTTCAAAGAGTTTAAAAAATTATTAATTATCATGTCATATTAATATTTATTAACATGTCATATTAATATTTTTTGTTATGAATGTAAATGCGTGAAATATGATACTTTATCTGTCCAAATAAGTTGTTCCCCTTGACTATTTATAGTGACTAAAAATTTATTAATTATCATGTCATATTAATATTTTTTGCTCATACTTTTCTAAAATACTATCTTTGTTAAAATTATTAGTTATCAAATTTAATTTTACATTATATGAAACCGATATTAACATATGGAGATCCATCTAAAATTAAAATGGTAAATCAAATGAAAAACTATTAAGTTAATTAAAAATAAAATTTCAAATAAATTATGAAAAAATAATATACTAATAAAAATATTTTTACTTTTGAAATTTCAGCACGTAGTAAAATTCCTACAAGAATAAATATTTAACAAAAAGTTCTTTTAAATTTTTATGTTAAAGATATTTGCATGTATAAGAAAAAAGTATAAAAAATATTTATTTTCTATTAGTGAAGAACAAGAAATAAGAAAGAATTAATTTTTTTAATTAACTAGGGATATTTTAGGAAAATAAATTATTTAAAATTTTCATCAGACAAGCATTTTGAAACAAATATAAATAGAAAGAAAGACAATCTCTTTGGGACATAAGAAATATTTATATTTGGTTAAAAAATAATCTATCTTTAATTACTATGTTTGGTTCATCCTTAAAATTCATGAGGAATTTATTTACTATTTTATCCTTAAAACTTACAATATCTAAATTTAAAAACAGAAAAAATAGCTCAATGTGTCCTTGTATGATGGGTTGGGTGTCAAAATTATCCTTATATCTTAACACTAGTCAATTATATCTTCATATTTTAAGTGGGTTTTTAATATATAATTCTAATAATTTTTTTTCGACAAAATCATCAGAAATATCACGTGATTTTTAGGTGAAAAGTAGCAACTTTGTGGTGTAGGCTTGTGTTTGAGGTGGTGAGTTGCTGGAAAATATACGAAAAATGGCGGGTTTGATGGTGGTTGGCGAGCATGGCTTGATTTTGGCTAAAACAAATGTGAGGAGAAGGTGAAAAATTGTCGGTTTTGACGTCTAGGAGTGTAGATCAGTATTTTACGTGAAATATGAAGGTTTTGGTTAGAAAAAACCAATGCTTGTGGAGGTGGCTGAAAAAGTGGCGAGATTGGTTGTTTTGAGGTGATTTTGGCTAGATCTTTGGAGAAGGGGTGAACATTATTCAGTTTATACTGAAAAATCAAATCAAACTAATCTGAGCTTGGCTTTTAGCTCTTTTTTTTTTTTTAAAGGACCTTTTTTTATTATTTTTTTGAAAAAAATTTCTTTTTCTTTTTTTATATTTTAAAATAATACAAATAAACCTATAAATCAATACTTTAACATTATTATAAATATATGATGAATTGATATCATTTTTAGACTATTTATATTATTTTTTAAAAAATAAAAATCAATTTAAACTAAAAAAAGAAATCTAAAACTAAAATTTTAGTTTTTAAATCGAAAAACCAAATAATAATTTGGTTTGAGTTCGATTTTTATTTTTATAAGTTTGATTAACTAAAAATTGAACCAAAATTATTAAAAATCAAATTGAAAAACTAAATGATCACCTCCACTTTGGAGGGGAAGGAAAGAAGAGTGAAACAAGGGAGAAGAGAAAAAAAAAGGTTTGTTGTATGTCTTCGGTTGGATTTTGATCAAAGTGAGAGAGACGGTGGCGACGACGAGTTGATGACTTGAGGGGTATTTTCAAAATAAAATTAGTCATATATAAATTATTTAATAATTTTGTTAAAAAATATCATCGGAATAATAGGTTAAAAACTCGGTTAACATGCAAATGCATAATTAGATATTTTAGAATATAAAGATATTGTACACATAATATCAATATTTGCCTTGTGTTTAAACATTATACATATAAAAATACCTGCTACTAGTGTTGAAAAGTAACATTTTGAAGTGGATTCAAATAAAAATTTAAATTTTAGATTAAAAAAAAACATAAGAATTTGATTTGATACAATTATAATTATCAAGTAAAATAAGTATTCCCTAAAAGATATTTGAAAACATAGGTAATAACTAAAAAAATTATGTTCTTATAAGTAAAAATTAAAAGGATTTATTGGTCCAATCTATGTTAAAAGCAAGGGTATTTAACTTGGAAATACATTTTCTTACGATTCCCATCATTTTAGAAGATAATCGCATTCTTTACTTTCAAGAAAATGTAATGCCTAAAAATATTAAATTTTCGAACATTCAAAATTTTCTGGCATACCAAATATAGAAATTCTTAACATATCAAATTAACCTTCAAATGGAAATCTTGAATGCATCTATACCAAACGAACCCTAAACGTTACATCTTCTTTTGGGCATGAAAAGCTGACATAGATGAATCCGTCTTTTTCTCTCCATGTAGCCGGCGTTGCATCTTCCTTTCTTAATCTTACCATCTTGTTTGTATACCCTAATTAACAGTCGTATTTTATTTCTTTAAATATTCCGCAATTTCATGAGATTGGACACAATATTGATATCTACCATTTCATTAGATCGCATAATATATATCTATTACCACAATTTGCACCTTTTACGAATTCAAAAGATTTCCATTTTTACGAAGAGTTCATTGCTTTGAAAATCTTACGTATGTCGTAGTCGGTCTAAATCTAATTGCATTTTTGTCAGAGTTTTTAAAAATTCGATATTAATGTACGTTTAATGGTAATTATTACATTGTGAGGGACTGGTGCAACCCTGACCGAACCTCTGGTGGCTGCATAGGAAGAAGCTTCAATTATATATATATATATATATATATAGTGCAACAGCGAGAACACATTATCAGAACTCTTAAGTTCTACGACGAGGGAGACTTATCTGTGTTCCGTAACTGTCCAATCTGCTTAATTTCCGATGAACTCCAATTAAGTTCTATGTCTTCCCAAATGAAGGGGAAACAAAAATTAAACAGGTTTTTTTTTTAATTGGAAGTACGTGTTAAGAAGGAATTATAAATAGAATATATTAGATATGTTCAGAGTTGTACTCAGACAACCATTGGATTAAAATCCACTGAACTGTTGGATTTTAAACATCTGCATAAAATTATGTGATCTAAGGATCGTCATTAGTCATGTTTATATATTTGTTATTACTTTTGCTGTCCTTTGGTATTAATTTATTGATTATGTCACAATTAAGGACAGACTGGACACTTAAAACTGATTCATTATTCTCTACAAGACAAATATGGATGTTATTTAGTTAACATTAGTTAACATTCGAAGGATCAAGATCCTTGAATACTTCAACGCCACCACAATTAGAGAGATTCTTTCCTCTTCTTTTCTTATCAGTTTTCTCCAGAATATTTTCTGAAATCGCTTTTATCAATTTGTTTCTCTTTTTACTTGCTTCTCCAGAGATCCTAGCTAACTCATTATCCTGCTCCACAAACTACATTTTTTATTCTCTCCTTTAATCCAATTTCTTACAGCAAGGCTGTCCGTTTACTCGGAAAGACTTATCGACAAGAACAGATACATGCATGATCAAGGAGGATTGATGAAGAAGGCGCCGATATTTATAAAGGGTTGCAACAGATCCTGGTATTTTTTGGCCATGTTTCTTTTATGGTTCTTATTGCTTTACTTCTTTAATTCAGGTTCAAAACTTGACAAGAACGATGTTTTCTTGCTGAAACACAATTATGACAATTTTATTGACACCAATGAATCAAATTTTGGTCGTGAGCATCGGAATTCCGATGAAGGGATAATAAAAGAAACAGGGCATATTGCAGACTCTACAATGCATATGGACACGAATGCAACAGGTACTCCTATCGACAATTTTTTTACCGGCGGAGATTGGGATAAGTATCTTCATGAAGCATCTGATTTTGGGAAAGAATCAAAACCGGATAATCAAATACATCTTACGGAAAATGAAGCTCGATCGATCAACAAAGTTTTTGGTAAAGGAAACAAAGAAGAATCTGGTCACGTAAGGACTGCAGCTAGGGAGAAACAGGTCAAGAAACCTAGGAGGAAGCGGGTCAAGAAACCGGCTGATCATTCACTTCCCAGAGAAGAGAAGGTCATCAAGGAGGTCATCAAACAGCCTAGTAAGGAAGATCAAATTGGGAGCCAAGCCATTTCGGATTCAGATTCTGAATCATGTGTAGGCCGATACATTTATATTCATAATCTTCCGAGCCGATTCAATGGTGATTTGGTCAGGCATTGTCAATCTCTTAACGAATGGTCTAATATGTGCCCCTACCTATCGAACTTTGGCTTTGGTCCCCCGCTAAAGAATTCCGAAAGGGTGCTCTCAAATACTGGCTGGTATTATACGAACCAATTCATGCTAGAAATCATTTTCCACCATAAAATGAAGCAATACAGGTGCTTAACCACTAACTCGTCATTGGCTTCGGCAATCTTTGTTCCCTACTATTCTGGGCTTGACGTTGCTCGCTATCTGTGGAATGCTGACAAGAAGATGAAAGATTATTATTCTCGTCATCTTGTCAAGTGGCTAAGAGAAAGCCCGGAGTGGAAAAGATTGTGGGGTCGAGACCATTTCATGGTTGCTGGAAGGATCACTTGGGATTTCAGGAGATTAACAAACAAGAATACTGACTGGGGTAACCAGCTTATGATTTTGCCTGAATCTAGAAACATGACAGTGTTAACTATTGAATCAAGTCCGTGGAACAATAATGACTTTGCAATACCCTATCCAACATACTTCCATCCTTCAAGTGACAACGAAGTATTTCAATGGCAAAACAGGATGAGAAGACTGAAAAGGCAGTACTTGTTTTCTTTCGTAGGTGGACCGAGACCTGACCTCCCAGAGTCTATCCGTAGTGAGATTATTGAACAGTGCCAGGCTGCAAGTAGAAAATGCCAATTGCTAAAATGTATTACTGGTTCAAGCAATTGCTATGAACCAGCTAATTTGATGAGGATGTTTCAAAGCTCTACGTTCTGCCTGCAACCTCCAGGGGATTCCTTTACTAGGCGATCAACTTTTGATTCAATCTTGGCTGGGTGCATTCCAGTTTTCTTCCATCCCGGTTCAGCTTATGCCCAATATTTATGGCATTTACCTAGGGGTTATACTGAATATTCTGTGTTCATACCGGCAAACAAGATAAAAGATGAGAAAGTCAGCATTGAGAGGACACTATCTAGGATTCCTATACAAAGAGTATGGGCTATGAGAGAACAAGTTATAAACCTGATTCCAGGTATAGTATATGCTGATCCAAGTTCTGGTTTGGAGACCCTTAAAGATGCATTTGATCTCACAATAGATGGCGTTCTTGAAAGAGTTGAGAAGATTAAGATGGTTATTAAAGCTGGAAAGAATTTTTCTGAAGACATAGAAGAGTATACTTGGAAGAAAATTTTATTTGGAACAGAAGGGAAACACGAATGGGATCATTTCTTTGATAGGTCAAAGATGAGAGCGTATAATTAGGAGTTAAATGTTAGAGAAAAGATAGAAGAGAGAACAGGATTCCTTGTAACTAGTACCATCCCCCCTCTCTCCTTTTTTTTAAATAAGTTTTGAATTTTTATAATTTAATTCCGAATTTCAGTGTCTATTAGAAACATCAACTGTTTTGTTTAGATTCTTATCATACAACACTGTAGGTCATTTTTCTCCTCCTTTTGAAAGATCCTGTATCAACATTGAAGGTCTCTCAGAACTCAGAAGGACATTTCATAAGAACAAAAGAAACAGTAAAGATAAAAAAGATATGATAGAGGAGCCCTAACTATTACGGTACTGTATGTCTAGATCTACGCTTCTGATATTAGAGGAGTTCAATTTATGGAACTAAATGTAAATGCATGTATTATTTTGTGCAATTTTACCTATTGTTGTTCATGTAGGATTGTGTTTAGGTGGGTGGTTTGGGTTATGTAGCTTATTTTGCCAGGAAGTTTGGTCTCCAGGGGTTAGCAAAAGCATTGCAATAGGTGATGTTTGAAGACAATAGATTTGCTGTCTGCAGAAATGGACAGTCTTAAGTTCTAGTTGATAAATACATATGAAGTTTGTCGCAGCCCTTATGCAGGAAGAAAAAACAGACCTCTAGCTCTCGTATATGATTATCAACAACGCGCTGGAATTCATTAAAAAAAATAAAAAAATGTCAATGGAGAATTTGGCGTTTCTTATATCAGCATCTGTCCTCGCGTCACGTGGAGAAACTTAGTAAATATTTGATTAAGAGCAGAAATGGAAGACCTCAAGCCAAATCAGCGTTTGTAGTCCAACGGTTAGGATAATTGCCTTCCAAGCAATAGACCCGGGTTCGACTCCCGGCAGACGCAAGCAAAAATTATTTTTCCAAAATTGGCAACGTTCCAAATACTCTATATGCGGAGATGTTGGACTAATCATCACGCAATTCCAAAAGATAAATATCCACACCTCACGGAACTCCAAGTTTTTTATTCTCTAAAGAGATATTCTTTTTACTATTAATAAAATTGATGTGTTCTTATCACATATATTGTAATTATCTGATGACATTGCGTTGCATTTATATTAGGATTGAAGTTGATTTATTCTTATCATATATCCTATATAAAATAATTATGTGATGATATTGTATTGTGTTTATATTAGAATTAAAGTTGTAAATTGAATTATAGGTGCAAATATATTATTGATTTAAAAATAAATTATTAAATACATTTAGAGTTCTATCTTCTCTTCTCACATATTTACATAATATTTAAAATAAAAATATACTATAAATTTCACTTTTATGTAAGAAAAGAAAATATAACTCTGACTGTTATGAATAATTCTTTCTTTTAAAAAAATCTATAATATAATATCCTTCAACTTCAAATAAGAAATTATTTGTTACACAGAGAATTGTATTTTTGTTTGTTATAGAAATATTAGATTTATAATGAAAATTGTATATAAATATAACTGTAGATGTAGTGAATAATTTCTCCAATTCCAACTCAAAGAGATTGAAGGCGCCACTTATAAACCAACATACCAGAGCCACAAAAGGGCCATTCTCGTCTTTAAAAAAAAATAAAAAAATCTCAACCAAATAAAAACCCAGTTCCTCCCTTCCGTGGCCACAAACCATTTCGGCAGAACAGAACAGAGCCTCATGTTCTTAACACACACTAACAGCAACAGCAATAGCAGTTAGAGAAGAGTAGCATGGCAGGCACGTGCACCTACATCTCCCGTCACGTGATCGAACTGTCATCCTACAACAGAGCTAGCAGGACTTGGGGTGGGGGTGCTTCCTTTTGCTGGGCTCGCATCTCTGCCATGAATAGCAATGGAGTGTCTAGTACGCGTAAGGTTGCACTTGCACCGGAAGGACCGTCTTGCATATTCGTTGGCCCAATCGAGACTGCAAGCCAAGAAACCCTTGAAGCTCTCTATTGTCAAGTAAGTGAGCTTTCTTCATCTTTTGAATTTTGGGCCTAACTAGATCATTCACTATAGTCTATAGCAGTCGTTATTTTGGTTTCACGCTCTTATCTTATTGGATTTTGGGAAATTGATTTTTACAATTGAAAGGAAGATGAGAAGAAATGGCCTGACCGTGTGGTGTTGAATTGATGTTTGTTTTAGGCACGGGATGCATATTACAGTGGTAAACCGTTGATAGTAGATGATATGTTTGATAGAGTTGAGGTAATAACTTTATTGAATACATTTGTAGATCAAACTTTGATTTTTTAATAGTCACACGAATTCCTTACCCTACAATTGCTTGAAGCAGTTATGTTGTATAATATTCAATATGTGGGTATGATATTAAAAATTAGTATCATGGCTACAAGGATAAATACTAAAATAAAGCTATTGTCAGGGGATACAGGATATAAAGCTTGTTAATAGTAATGATTAACCTTTACTGGAGTATTATCATCTATTTCAGAGGCCTATTCCCCATAATAGACTTTAGATAACTATGATATTTGTACTATATTAGTACAAATAATCTACCAGATATAGGTCCTCAATAATTATTAGGATTCCTAATATTTGGTCAAATTTAATGCCTAACATCATAGTTATATTTAACTATGTTATGGACCTTAGTTGTATATCCTAAGTGTATCCCTAGGTGGAAGATAACCACCTAATTTGACCAATTAGAAAAAAAGTAAACGGAAAAACCTTAAACTAGGGCTTACAGTTTTCCTATAGATTTTTTTACGCTCGTTCACATTGACTCTTTCAAGAACTCGAATGCCCGCAAGCCCCCATCATCTCCAAAAATTGAAATGTGTATTTTTCGAGCCCGAACGTCGTTTTTTGGAAAAAATCACAACGAGGTCATGGCCAAAAGCAATGAGTTTTTATCGTTGGCTCGTTTGGCATCGAACTAGGTCAAAATTTGGTCAAAAACATGGACGACCATTTTTGGGCCAAAATCAACCTCGGCTCACGGTCGAGGACAATAAGTCTCGATGGTTTTCCCTCTTTCAAAAGTAAACGTCATTTTTTGATAGTAGATGATATGTTTGATAGAGTTGAGGTAATAACTTGATTGAATACATTTGTAGATCAAACTTTGATTTTTTAATAGTCACACGAATTCCTTACCCTACAATTGCTTGAAGCAGTTAAAACTGCGGTGGTATGGTTCCAAATCTGTTGTCAAGTACCCTCGCTGCAGTATCAGACGACAGTCCACATACTCTGACGCAGAGGTAATGAACTATTGAATCGTTTCCATTATACAAGTGCATGAAAATAGCCCATTTGTGTAATATTGACTAAAAGCAGGGATGCACTCTTCTTATTGACATGATGCCCACCAGAAAGGGAAAAAATCATGGATAATTCTGAAGGATTTTTTTTTTTTTTTTGTTCTGTCTCGATGTTGTTTATTCATTTTAGTTGGCATGGCTGTAGGGCAGATAGATATATCACAGGCGTTTGCACTAGCAAGCATTTGGATCCTCTTTCTTACAATTGGCTGTTCAGTGTGCGCTCTGCCTATAATCTACTCAGTTGGCCTCGCTTACCAAGATGCATTTCACATGGGAATATCCCATGGCAGTCAGACAACCATTATTGGGTTTCTTGCTGCAGTTAATCTTCTTCTCTTAATGGCAGTGGGTGCTTTGATCGGCTATCCAATTGCATCAGCTTCAGGTGACAGCTTTTAACTTACCTTATCTTCTGTAATTCAGTAATCAAGAAATTTTGTGAAATAATGAGCGTACAAGTTATTTATCAAGGATAAGGACACTTTACCCCCATAGTTTGAGCCCTTTCCAATATGTGACCTTCCAGCCCGGACCCCCAGTTTATGGGATCCTTAAAAACAGCAGAATGATGTCAGATGGATCTTCAAAAGGCTACTCAAATCATAAAAATTTGTCCAATCAGCGATAACTCTTGAAGGTCACATTTTTTAGTGGCCTGTCTGAGCTTCTGGTACTATTATTATTTACTGTTTCATACCCATTCTTAAGGTGCATGGAACAAATTGTCAATCATAGGCTGGGAAAGCGAAACAGGCCATAGGATAAGGAAATATTATGCGCTTATATGCATTTTTGTGTCTGTGTGTGTTTAAAAGCCTGAAAGCTTTATAATTTTTGCTGGATTCGTCAGTTTAACCTTGAACACTACAAAACCTGAATTGGAGAAGATAGAACTTTATTGAGGAAAATATCGCAGTTCTTTTACTTAATTCAAAATATGGATTCTTACTTATGCATCCATTTTCACAGTCAAGGTGCTGCAAGGTCTATGGAGGAATGACTTGGTGGCACTCAAGGGGGCATGTCCAAATTGTGGTGAGGAGGTTCGTATTAACAAATATTGTCTCATGTTAATATGAAGACATTTGGAAGCTTCCCCTTCATTTTTCTTCCACAATTCTATGTAAATGTATTCAGCTGTATCCAACTAACAAAATCATGATCAACTTCTAAACCTCCTTCTCTCATTGATTTTGGGCTCTTTGTGCAGGTATTTGCCTTTGTGAAATCAGATCAATCTAACAACTCCCCACATAGAGCAGATTGTCATGTATGTGAAAGTTTACTTGAATTCCGCACCAAGGTTGAGGTAATTAATCTTCTGATGCTCGGTTTCTGCTATTTATGCAAATATTGACTGTAAGACTAATTTATGATTTCTTCATAGAGTTTCTTGACCTAACAAGGATTTCAAACAAAACACAGTACTGCATTGTTCATTCTCCCAAAGGGCTACTACTCAGTTAAGGTCCCATTAAATGTCGGGCTCTAGGATAGAGGATTGAAAACATTCTTTCCTTGTACATTTTTCATCAGATTCTGAGCGTCCACCCACTACTGCATTTCCAAGATGTTTACCTTTACACCGAACAGCTATCCTCATCCTTGGCTAGTTAGAAGTGTTTCATAGACTTGGCATACCGTAGCCCTAAGATAGCTGTGAGATGGCCTGCAATTTCTAATCGTTTTATATGCTTGTTTAACAGCCACAAGGTTTTGCAATGTTGAAACTGTATAAACTAGCAGTCATTCTTTTTTGCACTTGCCAAAATGTATTTGTTATTGCAATCTGATTTCATGAACGTAGATAAAATAGAGGAAACAAAACAATTATCCGACTCACATGATTGGTATCCTTCTGCAGCAAACCATTTCAAGAGTAGGTAGTCAGTGGGTGTATGGGCGCATATACCTTGTATCGCGAAGACGTCAGAGATGGAAGTAAAATCTCAGCCTAATACATGTCTTTTGGAGCGGCTGTGTACAAAATCACGATTCTTTCCTTCCCTTTTTTATGTATATTTTCTCGTTTTAGTGGCTAAATTGAAGCGATTCTGAAATAATAATCTGTTACAAGTCAATGAACTGCATCCCATTTGGTGTTGTAGAAATGACTGAAGGTCTTAAGACCTATTGAAGAAAAGCTTATAGGAAAAGCAAAGGAGCCTTGAATATCCCCCACGGATATATATATATATATTGACTGTTTTTGAATGATTGCAAAAATTATCATGTCACATAGATAGCTCTATGCCAGAATCATAATAAAACCCATTTTCTATTGTTGAGAAATTAAGGACTAAGATTTAATACACATCACCATATACAATCTAATTCAACGAGAAAAATAAGATTAATAAAGAGTAGATGTACAATATTTAACCATGATTTGATAAAATCTTCTGTACTTTACAGATATGAGAAAAATATCGTGAGAGAGAATTAATACAAAAATATGATTGTGATTTCTATATCTAACATTCAATCTTAAAGTTTCTTATACAAACACTTTAGTACTGAAAAAAAATCTCAATCTTTGTGTTTTTTACATTCTAAAACTACTTATATTCTTACCTATTTATAACAGCCAAATACTCGGTGGTCGAGAAAAGAACGAACTTGTCGATGAAGTTTACAAAATTTGGAGGCTATTCTACTGTTTTTTCTAATGCTCACCTCATTTGCTTGCCTATTACTCAGAAGAAACAAATGAGCTACATCCCTAACGAATTTCCATCTTGACAAATTTTCAACCCTCTAAAAGATTTATTAACTCCACATGTTTGTAAATTTCCTAAACAAAAAGGTAAAAAAAAGTATTGGTTTTAAAATTTACTAGCTATAAATAATCTAAATCAGCAAACAATCATGAACTTATATTAATTCAAAAAACAAAATCAATGACCTATGCAACTGTCATGAGTCAACTTTACATATTAACTTTAGAGAATGTTTTTGATCCATATTCTCCCTTAATAGAATATTTCTCCTCACACTTGTTTGAAAAATAAGAATCCATAATTATCGTCTCTTTCTAATCACTAAAAAGAGTCTTTTCATATAACTACCATCTTATATACTTCATTTCTAGTCACTCTTCAAGGTTATTATCTTTCAAATCAAATAATATAAACCATTGTATTTTTCTCATTTCATTAGGATTGTGTCGTTATGTGTGACTTTTAAGACTTCATCTATTATAGAATAACTCGTATAATTTGAAGTCTAATTGACTTAATGCTAGTAAATTCCTATGCATCATTGGAACATAAGTCATATCACGCAAAATACGAACCACTCCATCAAATTTTTTTATTTTCACATTTCAAGACTCATAATGTAACAAAACAAGCACACCATCAAAAACACGATACCATGCTTTTCTCTTTTGAACTCATCAAAATATTCCTCCTTAGAACACACATGAAATATAGATGCAATATCTAATATCTAACCATCATGAGAAAAAAGTGTCAATATATTTGAAGATTGTGCTTGTATCATTATCAAAGAGTTTTCACAATCCTTAGATTTGTCCTTCCTCTTTTTTCAAGGATAAACTCATTTGATGTGACCAAATTTTTTACCTAGGTCTCTTTTCAACTAATTTTCGCTTTTGATTTTTCCTTTTGGTCACCGAGTGCAAAATTATAGTCATTTTCTTAATTTGACTTTCTTTATGTTTTACGATGTAAAAGTGAAACTATACTTAGTCCAAAGTCATTATACCCTTACAACAACCTTTTCTCTAGATTTTCAATCGAATTTGAAAGAGAGGTAAAAAGCAAAAAGACTTTGTTTTCTTCCGTAATCTTGACAACCACTTTTTGTGGTTTATTCAATATACCAATGAACACATTCAAGTGCCCCATGAAATTCTCATCCTCTTCCATCTTTAACTTGTAAAATTGCTACTTCGGATGTAACTTGTTGATCAAATTGTTCATCATAAAAGATTTTTGAACTATTTTCATATGGCAGGTGCCAAATCTTCATCTATAACATTATTGATAATATTATCAATAATATAGAATCAAATTGTATTTCCACACTTTGATTCCAACTCTTTCCACACATGCTCCTCCATCTCTTCCAGCTTATCATTCTTTTTCTTTAGCACTTTAGCCAAGTCCTATTAAATAAGGATGTCTTTCATCTTTCATTGCCATAGAGTAAAACTTCTATTCTTATTAAACTGAAGCTTGTTGTTTGCATAGGTTGTTGCAATCAATAGCTGAATTTCTCGAAACCAAAACTTTAATACCGAGTTTGTTGGAAAATTATGGATCGAGATTCAACATGTATCACCCACGAACTCAATTCAATAAAAAAAAATAACAAGATAAATAAAAAGTGAACACACAAGATTTATCGTAGTTCGATCAAATCATGTCTACTTCATATATCCGAGAGTAATCCTTCTTTGCTATGATAAAATTTAGTATAAGAATATGATTATAATTCTTAATACACCCGCTCAAAAAAATCCTCTCAATTCTTATGTTTTTCACACTTTAAACAACTTATCTTCTCACCTATTTATAATGACCAAAACACTTGGTGAGCATGGAAGAAATAAACTTGGTGATCAAATTTACAAAGCTTGAATGCTGCTTAGCTCTTCCTTATATTCACTCCATTTACTTGCCCGTTAATTGAAAATTAAAAAATAAGCCACATCTCCAACGCATCTCTCCTTTGGCTTCTAGGTATCTTTTGAACTGTCGTAGCCATCAGGAGCACACGATACAAGAAAGAACAAGCACTCAGTACCGAATCAAATTTGTTATTGTTTATATCCGGAACGGAACAGATCTATTATACTTGGAACATCGCAGCCGATATTTGACAAAGAAATCTGAGATAGTCCAGGATTGTTTGAGCGAGTTTGAATTTTTTCCCTCTTCATTTAGCACTTTGAGGCAACACGAGTTATAATATTCTATTAAATGAGGCGAGACGAGTTACAACACGGCGAAACAGCCAGACTGGTATTTGACAACCACTTGAGCCTACAATGAATCAAATTTGGCACCAATGACGGCCTGGGTTCAGAAGATTGAACAGCTACTTGATATACGATTCTGCAAAAGCTATTAAACTTTGGGGTGAAAGGGAGAGCGTCTTTACAAAGGGAAACTATAGTTTCATTAACCTATCGCACATTTCACCTACAAGGAAAAAACTGGAACAAAAGAATAATAATAATAATAAGGAAAGAAAGAAAAAAATGCAAAACGTCAGACATTCTTGCCATCCAGAACTGCTCCGAGGCGATCACTCTTTTTTAAAAAATACAAGTGGCACTCGACTCTAATCTGTCAAAACTAAAATAATGCTAAAAAATCAACTGATAAAAAGCTTATCAAGCCAATATTATGCCATAAAAGTTGACATAACTAGAATAGAAAATAGCTAGTGGAAAGAGCGAAGGTAACTCCATAGACTCACTTACAATATACAATACGCTTGGCACAGTAAACATTCCATGGATTTGAAATGCAGTAAGGTTCCAAAAACCAATGTGTTTTCTAAATGTATCTGAAAGTCCTTTTCCTAAAGAAAATAAATAATATTTGGCTTGAAACTGCATTCATTAATCATTCAGATCCAGTCACCAGAATTTTGCTATCAAGTTTATTGTCTTTGCCACACCACAGTTTTGATTGTCAGGCATCCAAATCATGAACCTCTAAATCTCGAGGGAAATTGAAACTTTAAAATAAATACCCTTAATCAAAAGCTAGCATATTCACGCTATGCAAAATGATGTTGGACAATCAAAAAGGAACAGAATAATAGCAAGTAACTTTCTCATTGTTCTCAGAGCGTAAGCAATGGTGCCTCGTACATGTGAATAATAGAGTAAGAACATTGCTTAAAGATAAGAGAGGCAGAGGCAGCCAGATTGGTGTATCGAGCCAATCAGAAGTGGGCCAAGCTGTATACTAGAATCCACGATAGCTGTGAAACAGAAAAAAGACAATGCTGGGTGTGTTAGTATGGAAACCAACCAAGTTTCCTTTTGTTAACTTTTTGTGCTTGAAGGCAGTCCTACTTTTGAGAAATAAATAATTGAAAAAAAGCTAAAGTACCAGGAATAGAGTGATAGAAGCAAAGAGCCCTTCTTGGAGGAGAGCTGTATGACCGCCAAAATCTTCTTCGTCGATCTTTAATATCAATGCATAATAACCATATATAATCCCAGAGGATATCAACAGAAAACTGTCAACCAAAGTCACACCAGAACGTTAGCAAAGAAATTAACAAGACAAATATAAAAGATTGCAAAAAATAGAAACTCAACACAATAAGTTTCCGGATGCTGAATATAAGCATATCTATTTGTGTGCGCGTCTATGGACATATCAGCACAATATCAGTACCCATCATCAATATTCACAAATCATAACAGAAGGCATGCACATTTTAACTCCGAAGGAAGTTCCTAATGCGAATCCCATTAACATGGATTTAGGAGAAACTACCATAAAGTGAACAACACTAGTCACAACACTGTGCATTACACTTGATAAACCTTTTTCCTCTTCAAGGAAACATAATCTTGTGAACAGCTCATCACACTGACTGACTATAGTCCCAGTTCCTTGCTATGCTGTCCATCCAATTTTCAATTTCAATAGATAAAAAAAAGAGCATAGAAAGTACCTCTAAACTTCCCTTCTTAAAAAGAAAAAATAATAAATAAAATAAAATAAAAATTATTAGAAGGAATTAATTGTTTGCAGAAAGGAGACAGTGAAAGTAACCAAATCATCTGCCTCTGACTGCCAAATAATATCTACCTCAATCTGCTCCTAGTATATGATTGCAAAGATATTAAATTATATGTCTCACAGGGTCCACGTCTTAGACCAGATGAGAAGGTTTTGTTTATCAAAAGAATGGAACTGATACTGCTTTGAGATTCAATTCAGCTAATACTGGCACATAAGAGAAATCATACACGTCACATCAAGTTGCCTCTTTAATGTTTCAGCAACGCCCCTCGCTTTAAAACTACTAATGTCTCTACACCAGCGATCGGTCTTATTTCCAAGGACCGTTCATAAAAAAGCTCATGCAACTAGTGTCTTAAAACATTATTGAACACTCTATTCTTATTTGAATCTTTGATTAGTCGCACCAGTTACGTAAAAGCTACTCCCATAAAACATGATGAAGTCAAGCTCCAATTACACAATTAATATAAAAAACATAATTTTAGCTCCTGCAATGCCCAAGCCTAGCTATGCTATTCTATAGATCATTTCACAAAAGGTAAGGAATTTTTTCAAGAATACCAAAGTATTAAACATTAACCAGCTTAGTTTAATACAACCCAGGCGTCACTTCAGAGCATAAAAGGAAAGTGCAATCATGCAAGAAGACATACAACTTTGAGTTCAAATAAAATCCGGAACTTTACATAGGTTTCAATGTCCTGCTATTCATGGTCCTTAATTACAATGCAATACTAATACTGGTTTTCTTCAAAAAAAAGGGTCCTGCTATTCAATATTGATGCTTATTGCAGTAAATTTTGCATGTAGAGCATCAGAGATGCTCAAACTAAGGCAGACAACTCACACAAATCCCAAGATTAACCTGAAGCCAAAAAAGCTAGACTCATCTACAGCGAGACTAACGTCTATCTATATTCAAACTAATATTGGCAACAGTCATATTAGTACTTTGTCTTCAAGCACTTACATATGTAGTCAATAGGTATGTCAAGAACAAGGACAAAAGCATTAGCAACAATGTAGTAGGTAAAACACCTCAGTAATTACAACAACAAAAATCAACACTAAACAGCTGATTTTTCTAGCATCGACCCCAAGAATACAAGAAAGAAACATAAATTGAGTCCACAAGTTAGTCACTTGTATTTCCAGGTACAGTAGACATGAAAGAAAGCATGATTACAACAAATATGAGCTTGGCAATGAAATATGAGCAAGAATTGAAAATTTGAAAGAGATAAGTAAAAAAAACCCAAGTCCGAAAACTTACAGGCCGATCCAAATACCGCCGACCAAAGGGATGGTGCCCCATAGCAATCCGCAAACAATGGCAACAACTTGCCTAATCCAATGCAACACATCTCCCAATTGATCCTGTATTGCAGCGTATCAATAATACCCTAACCGCTAATTGAATTCAATATTCCTAACTAACAACCCCAATTTTTATCTCTACTCAGGAATTCATAAATAAATAAATGAAACAAATTATTAACTGCAACTAATAATAATAAAGAGAGTACCTTGTCCCAAGAGGCCTCAGGATCCAACAATTTGGCGAATTTGAAAGGAGACAAGTGACCATTTTGGTGCTGGTGTTGCAGTTGATTACTATTGTTGTTGCTGTTGTAGTTGTTGTTCAATTTAGAAGCAGATTTCCCTTCTTTCATTGCTATTCCTCAGTAAATTAACTTCTTCTCGGAAACAACGACAACGACAGAATTATACTTTTGAGTTTGTGTGAATTATCAATAGCGGCAGCAAATATGGTTAAGCTTTAACTAGGGTTGCTTGGCTTTTAATTTAGACAAAGAGAGACAGAGATAGAGTGATTTGATGAGAAATTTTATAATACACCAGGAGTAAAATTTCTCTGATTTGATTATTATATTACACAAATTGGAATGGCTGTGTAAGTTTTTTAGATCTATGAACGAAGAAAGGACTGGGTGGGTTGTGGTGGTCAGAGTCAGAAAGAGCATATGCCTTGTGCACTGCACGTGGTCTTTCAGTTTACATATGATTTCAACTCCTCTTCTTTTTTCTTTTTTCTTTTCTTTTGGCCAATAAAATTAAAGAGCCATTGCTTTTGTAATTTTCTTTTGGATCTTTTTACTTCATTTGTGGAAATCGTCTTCTCAGCGGTTGCTTATCTCTATTCATCTTTTCAGCTGTGACATTTGCTAAAATGCCGCTGAAGGCAAAACTTCAACCATCATCTTTGGAATATTGAAAGCCCCATATTCTACTCCAAAAAAGTTAACAATATTCTTATTTTTCATATATATATATATTTGTGTGTACATAGAGAGGCAGCCAAATCAAATTTTATGGAGTATTTGATCTACAATGGAAGTGTTCGCAACCTTTCTTTGAATTGGAAAAACCAAGTTATCCGCAAGAACTTCATCTTTCGTTTTATTTTATTATTGTAAAGTCTTATATTAATTAAAAATATTTATAATTGAAAATGTTTATTTACTTTATTATTATTTTCGACTCTAAAAGAGTCAAAATAAAAAGAACCGATTTATCAATAACATAAAAGACCTCAAGCCATTGTTTCTTTTCTTTTTATCGATATATTTTTGAATGATTGGGCACCGCAATTTCAAAATGCTGCATTTAAAACTTTATAGTTATCATCATTTTTATATAAATTCTCACAAAGTTTGCCCTTATTTGTGACATATAGCCATCAATTTGATCCAATTCTTCCCGAATCTTCGACTGGTTGCAAAATGGTTGAGAAACAATTCCGCGAGTTCTTCCAAACAACCCTTATCGCTTTCTTGAAAGTTAATGGAAATGATTTAAACATTATGTCATCTGAAATGCAGTGGAGTTCCGTTAACATGATCATGCACATCCAAAGCGTCCAGTAGGTTAACTTTGGTGGGAAGAGGAACTGCTTGTATTTCATCCTGGTCAAAGGGAGCTAGGGAGGGCCTCCTCCTACATTTATTCCTTCCATGCGGTGTTTCATTGTTGTATTTTTCTAACCATCATTCTTGCAAGTTTATGTCTGGGGTCTTTGTTGAATCCATCGTCATATTTTTTTATCCACTTTGTGTTTGTTGGATCTTCCTTTTAGACTTCTCTGATGATGCTTGCTAACTTCTGGTTCTACCAAAGGGCAGGGTTGCATGGTTTGGGCAAAAAGAGAAGGTTCATGAACTAGAATAAAATGTAAGTATCTCCTTTTCCGATTCCTGTAAAAAGTAATAGTTTTTTCTTTTTCGTCGTATAAAAGCAACATAAACTAACTCGATCTTCTAAACGTTTTCTCGCGAGAATGGTTTGCCCATATGCTGGACCCAACTTCATTGCTCGGGCCTTTTGTTCCTGGGCTTGTCCAGTTCACACTCGTGCCTTAGGTGGGGTCGGCTGAATATTTAGGACAAATTAAAAAAAAAAAAAAAAAAGGGTCATTTTTCATACGATTTATAAGGTCGCCCATGACCTGTTCATAAACTGTTCCCCGAGTCTTATTGGGTTGTTTACCAATACTCAGCGGCACTGTGCTCATCTCCCTGCACTACGATCATTTGCGTTTTACATACAATTTATATATTTTGTGCGCATGCATCTTTTGGTCCCTGCAAATGTCATTTTTCGTCTCTATGTTTTTGTACCTTTATTTTTTTTTTCTTACGAGTCCCTTTTTTCACCCTTCTCTTTTATCTTTATTTATGTTAGACTGCAATTAAGTGGTCTTGTGATTACGTTATCATCTTCTTTTTTTAATTTTTCTCTACACTTTCACGCTTTTTTTTATATATATAACTTTCCAAATTCAATATAGAAAGCCTCTTTCTCTCGTCTTTGTTTTTTATGTACCTTTGTGTCATTAAGTGACTTTGTCATTGTGTTTTTGTCATTTTTTTTTTGTTTTCTTTGCATCTCCACTTTCTTTTTTCATAACTTTCTAAATCTATTATGAAAAACATTTAAAAGCACAGTTTTGTTTTCTCATATTAAGATTTAATGTCAAAAATTACTCTCAAATTATTGAATTATGACAATTTAAGACTTGTACTATTAATTTAAGCTATTTGGACACTAAATTATTAATTTTGAGACGAACTTTATTCTTCATCCGTTATATCAACCAATCAAAACATTAATCGCTAACTAGAATATAGTTTAACAATAAATTTTATCCCAAAACTATTGGGGTTGTTGCAAAATAAGGCTTATTTTATCCCTTTTGACTATTTGAACTCTAAATTATTATTTATTTATTACAAATTTAATCCTTCTTCATTGTTTTTTATAGTCAAAATATTGATCGTTAACTAAAATGCTTAAAACAACGAGCATTTTAAGCATTTCATATTTATTTTAAAATTAAAATTAATTTTAAAAAATAATAATAATTTATTTTTTAAAAAACTACATGGATCTATTGCACATACTTAATTATCTAACAACAAAAATAAGATCCATAAAAAAAATTAAAAAAAAAATCTAAGCTACCTTGAAGCTAATTATTATTAAATAACTTTTTTGAAAATATTAAATTCTTAAAGAAAATAATTCTATGTTGTTACTAGTTTGATCTCGTTATACATCATTAATTATCCAATAACAAAAATCAAATTCATAAACAATAAAATCAGCTACAATTCCTTAAAACTAACTAACTAACTAACTAACTAACTATATATATATATATATATATAAAGAACGATAAGCAATTATGGAGAAGGATAAAAATTGCTTAAAAACTAATAATTTAGTATTCAAATAGCATAAATTGATAGTATAGATCTTGAATTGCCATAACTCAATAGTTTAGAAGTAATTTTTGTCATTAAACTGCTAGACTAAACTCTTTGGTAGACAATGTTCGGGAATTAGAGTAGATTGATTGAGTTTCATTCCTTTCTTCTAAACTTTACGGATTTTTTTCATAGATTGGTTAGGGAAAGAAGACAAAAAAGATACAAAAAGGAAGAAAATTATCACTTAGGCTTATTATTTGGTTAAATACAAATGAATTTGTTGCGGCTCTATTTTTTTTTTTTTGGATGCCGGGAATTAATGTTTATTGTCTCAAACTATTTCTTTTTTCCCCCTAAAGTCTCGATTGCACGGGCCTTTTATTTTTTTGCACTTTTTCTTTTTTCTTTAATTTATTTTAATTTTTATTATTATGAATTATTGAGCAAAAATTATGGAGGATGGATCGTTATTTTTTAGATTTCTTAACGACCTAGAGAGGAAAAAATATATATGTTATGTTTTTATATTTTAAAATGAGCATATATTTCAAATTATATTACTTTTATTATTTAAAACTTATTATTTCAGTTTGTCATTTCTTATGAAAATTCACATCCATTTAATTTTTAATTTTTATTAAGTTTTATTTATGAAAAATATGAATTTTTTTTTTATCTATGTATGGATTTTGGAATAAAATTTTAGAACATGATTATTTTCTTTTAAAAACCAAAATAAATAATATAATTATATGGTAGATTTTGAAAATTTTTGAATCATAGCTTTGCATGTGATGCCTATGCACAATAACTGGCCATATATGGCCTAGAATTAAAAAAAAAAAAAAAAGAATTCATGTATTTTATTTGCTACTTTTTTTATATAATCAAAATTTATTTCAATAAATTTTGTAAATATTTTTATTTTAGTATATTAACTTCAAATTTATTCAACATGTTACTTACAAATTAACTATTTTTTTTAATATTTTTTCGTTTAATGTTACAAACTTTAAACTCAATCAATATGGTTTTTATGTACAAAATATGTTAAACTATTAGTTTTATTAGAAATTAACTATGCAACAAAACAAAACACTAATCATTTACTATTTGTTCATTTATTTATTTTTGAATACTATGAAATCAATTTCTTTCAAATCAAATAATTAAAATTATTTTTTTGCAAACCCAAACAATTATTCAAATATAGTTTTTTTTGTTATAATATTGTTGATAATTTTATGAATAAATATATCAAAATCAAATGTATAGACTTTCAAAAACTAATCTTCTCATCAATATTAAATAAAAATAAAGAATAATTTTTTTTATTTTTTTATTTTATGCAAGTTTTTACATCAATTGTTACTTTGTTTTAACAACACAATCTTATAAAAAAAATATATTATGAAATTTTTTATTCCATAATAATATTTTTTAGATTATTACAAGTTTTAAATTAAAAATTCCTTGATTAAAAAGAATAAATCTTCTTTTTTTTTGGTGCAAAAAATATTAAAATTGTGAGAAAGAATTAGTTACATTTCAATTTTGATTAAAAAAAACGATAAACTTAGATGATTTTTTTTTAATCTTTGATTTAATATATTTTGATAGACGCATAATGTAACACATATTATTAAACTTAAATCATTTGTTTAAATTATTTCACATTTTCTATCTAATCCGTAACATAGCGCGAGTAAAAAATTAATAATCACTAAGCTAGAATCAGCATTCATTGAAGACTAAAAAGATCTAACCACTCTTGAACTTTAAATTGTTTGAAGTTGAGTTCTTGAATTTTATTTATTTATTTTAAGGATGCCTAAATTTTTATTTTATTTACAAATTTAGCTCATTTTAAAGTTTTTTTTTTATCATTTTTGTCAAAAAAAAAAAAACAATCACATAAATAATTTCACAATGAAAATCTTTGAGTGAGATTTATGCAAAGCTCTTCAAAAATTTGGGATCATTTTAGAGTTATATTTTCTATATTTTTTATGTTAAAAAAAATAAACAAATATAGTTTTTTATTTAGAAAAATTCTGAAATTTTTCTTCAAAATAGATTGATTTTTTTTTAAAAAAAAAATGTGTGCAAAATTTCATCTTAAAAAAAAAAAACTTGTTAGATGAGAAAATGATCACTGAAAATCATTAAATGAACTGAATCTCAAAAGATTAAAAGTTTAAAGATCTCTAAAACCAATAAATGTTTTTCAAAAACTCAACTTGAAATCACTTAAAATTCAAGATTAATTATACCCTTTTATCCTCCATTATTGAGCTTGGCTAATCCTTTTTCAGAGTCCGAGTGTTGAAGTGATGGGGTGAGGCGAAAATGGACTAATATGTGAAACAACCCCTTAAACTATAGGGTGTTTTAATTGAAACCCGTTCAATTTTTTTTCTTTTCTGATTTCAACCCTTGATCTATAGCGTGTTTTGATTGACACTTCTTCTGTTACCTTCTATTCAATTTTTCATAAAATAATAAGTGACTTGCGCATGTTTTATTTATAAAATATAAATGGATGGTCAATGATTAGTAAAAAAAATAAATTAATTAATTAAAAAATCAGCATCCATTAATGTAATGACAAAAACATTATTTACAATATGATAGAATCACGATCAAGACTTTAACTCTTGATATTTTTACGACTTTCTAATGGCCTTTGATATATTTTTTTAAGAAAATCATATAACTCACATATAATACATGACAATTAAATTGGCTGGAATATTACAAAAAGCATGTCAATCAAAACACTCAATAGTTCGAGGATTTAAATTTAAAAAAAAAAAATCAAAAAAGTATAAACGAAGATAGCTATTGTTAAGGGGAGAGGGGGTTTTTCACGATTAGCCACTATAAAAGGCACAAAGCTTTATATATATATATGGTTGAAATTTCGTTGCAATCTTAGCTAGGAACCTAATTATATAATTTCATTGCAATCGAGCATAATAAAAGTTGGGAAATTTTAGCTAGGAACCTAATTATATATATATATATATATATATATATCAAGAAACTTGGGTCACAAATTAAAGTAACATTAACTTCTTTTAAAATTAACCATTTCAATCCTTTTCGGAAAAAAATTAGTTCTCGAAATTTGATAGCCTTACGTACGAGGATAGTCCGAATCAGTTGTTGATAAGAAAAATACATACACCTACGAAAGACAGCCAATAAAACTGTGGCACAAGAGCAAGAATCTGTTTTTTGATTTATCCATTCTGCCTATTTACAAATTAATTAATGCAAGAGATAGCATTTTTTAATGAAAGGGATGGTGAGAGCGACGTAACAATTGCATCAGAGATCCGTCACCACCATATATAGACTCATAGAAACATGGAAAAGCAACTTCAAGGCCTTTAATCTCAAAAACAGCATCTCTTTCCCTCGTTCTCAAGCATCTAACTATATTCTATTTGTTTCCAAAAAAAAAAAAAAAAAAAAACGATATTCTATTTGGATTTAGTATCTATCAAGCAGTGAAAAGAGACTTGTTAAATCAACAATTAAATTTAAAAAGAAAAAAAGCATCTATAATGTTTTCGAAAAGGAAACAATTACAAAATTTTTAAAAATAATAATAACACCAGTTTGTATGTAAATTTGGTATGAAAATTTTGTTTGTAAATCATGTTCATTTATTTATGTCTTTTGTAATTGTTTTTTATAATCTACTTATATATAAATAACTTTTAATATCCTCATGTCTCTTTGAAATATTCTTTGATTTGTTTCCTTCCTTTCGTTTTCGTTAATAACCAAAATTTGTTGGTGAAAGGTTTTCGCATTTTTAAGGAGGTGTAAATTATAAATTAGTCCCTTTAGTCTTACAAAATAAATTAAATAGTTCTTCCTGCTTTAAAAATTAATTAATTCAGTAACCTCTTGATTAGTTTTGATGGTAGTTAACTTAGTATTATTTTGTTCCAAAATAATATTTTATTGTTTCATCATTTTTTTCATATTTTTTTACTTATTTATTTTTATTTATAAAAATAAAAAAACAAAAAAATTGAAAAAAGAATGAAAAGAATTAAGTTATAAATAGATTTAAAAATATGAAAACTAATTAATTACTTTTTAAAACTAGAGAAATTATTTAATTCTTTTTAAAAAAAACCTAGAGGGATTAATTTATAATTTACCCTTTTAAATAGTGTTGCAATTTTGGTTGCATTAGTGGTGACGACACTGGAGATAAGTCTTTCACTTTTATTCTATTTTTTTCTTTTTTGGCTCTTAAGGGATGAAAAATGTCAATGTACTGCTTCATAATAACTTAGATTCAAACATCGATTTTTATTTCTTTTTTTTTTTCACGAATCTCTTGATGTGTGGGTGTGTTTTTTATCTTAATAAAAGATTCTCTTCTTCTTAGAAAAGAGGATTTTTTTTTTTTTTTTTTTGCAGATTTTTTAATGAAATTACTGGTGGCATTTCGTAAATTGCTTGATTATTGAACTCCAGATTTTCAACTAAACAAGAAACTACTAGTTTTTAGTTATTATATGAGTCCAAGCATATCCATACAGGAGTGTTGAGTCATCAGGATTAGACCAAAGCCATTCTGACGTTTTTGTGTGGTCCACTAGCACATCGTTATAGAACAGAAACTTTCAGAAATAGAATATAGAGAAAGAAAGGCACTGCTCATGAGACCCAAATAGAACGACCCCATTTTCCATTTTATAGCACATGCAAGCATGTATTTTTTGCCTTATCAAACTACATTCGGTTGCCAATTCTGTCTTCCTTCCATTCAAGAAAATTCCCACCAAAACCGTCAGGCGACAGTTTACATATTAACAGGTGTATATGAGAGTCTAGTAATGGAGGTCTGATCAATCGTCCAATTTTAGAACACTTGCAGGAGCAGCCAATACGGTGTCAATTCACCCAACACAGAAACAAAAATAAAACAGAAAGGACATGCCAATTGATTTGGTTACTTGCATAAATTTTATTTTGTTTTAAGAAAATAAAAAAGGTACGTTTTACTAATACCCTAGAATCCATTGCAACAAATCAAGAAAAGACTCTGAAGGACGCTTGAAGATGTACCCTAACGGAACGAGGGCTTACCTCCTGAAGACCACCTGGGTTCGACTCTCTCTATTCACGTTTGTCACCCCCGCGATGCCTTACATGCTCATTGGGCTTGCAGGGTGTTCAGTGAGCTCCGGAGATTAGTCAAGGTGCGCATAAACTAACCCGAGACACCCTAGATTAAAAAAAAAAAAAAAAAAAAACCCTGAAGGGCTTCTAGCACTAGAATAAACAAAATGAAAGGCGATCACAAGACAGCCCCGTTTCATTCTTCAACCCAAAAAAAAAAAAAAAAAAAAATTATGACAAGAGACCGCTCCGTTACCAACCAGATGATTTCTGTTAGGAAGCTCTTATTTCATCGATCATTTACAAGGCCAAACCTCTCCACGCAGGAAAAATATTGGCATCGAGCGCAAGAATGTTACATAGATTTCTTCAACACTTCTATTTCTCCCTTGTTATCAACTTTTTACAAAATGATCACAAAATACACATAAAAGAAAAATTAATTAGAAATCCTTCTCTGAATCCACTAGTCCAGGTTTTGTTCAAACACATGCTGCAAGCTCTCAGAGGAGAAGGCAAGTCTCTGCCTGCTGGTGTTTGAACTGTTGCTTGGCTTGCAGCTGGGACCAGTAAGCATGGGCAGTAAGGACCCTGTCTAAGAGCTCCTGGGGTACAGGCTCTCCCCTCCTTTGCTGAGGGGATATTCTTGCCGTGTGCACCAGTGTTTTCCATTTATCCTGTACCATCGAAGAACACCCATCAAAAACAAAATCCAATGGACACGACAACTAGTACTTTTTAAAGCAATCTACAAAGAGAATACAAAGAGCTACTCAAATTGCTCTTTTTATTTCCAGGAGGATTCAATTGAACCATCTAGGATGTCCAAAACTTGTGCAACACAAAAGAGGAAACAGTGTCTCTGTTATTTGCAAAGGCCATGTTAGTCACGAGGAGAGGAGAGGAGAGGAGTCATGTAGAGAAACGTACAAAGAGACATCGAGTGAGATTGGAATTGAAAAGATTCCTTGTGGGACACAACCCTAAAAAGGTCAAAAAAACCTAATCAATCATTTACCTGTTACACAAGCAACTATTTGTTGAACAGACTACGCTAGCTGTGCGCCATTGCGGGCCCAAGTCATAAAGTCTGACATTTTTAAATTTTGAAACAACTCACTAATATCATTGCACTCTAGGAACAATCAAACACCCTCGTAAAGTCGTAACCAAATATTTGACAGGAAATTCTATTGAATAAAGAAACAGAACATCCAATATACAGGGAGAGTAAATACTTGGCAATAGCGCACTGTACAGTAGTGAATTTGTATCAAGGCGACAAATTAAAACCCACCTTCAAATCCACGTATGTCCGATGCTTTGCATTATCAAAGGCTCGCAGTTTAACATCACGCCATCTGCTGATCAGCAAGAACATTAAAATTCCATTTTATACAGAATTGGAATGCAGGAGAGTATAATTTTCTAAACTGAAAGCACATAAAGTTGCTAATACTGAGACAACATTTTGATCAAGCACTGAACCAGGCCAATTGAAACATTATTAATCCAATATTCAGACATATCTCAAAAAGCTTCATGTAGCTGCGTGCATCAAAGAATAAACATACCTTCCAGTTCCAAGTTTCTCAACTGCTTGGACCAATGCTTCAACTTCAGCAACAGAGAAAGGTCGACGAATTCGGCGCTGCACGATCTCAGATCGTTTGAATTTCCGGTGTGCCGGAACCGCAGCTAGGGCCTCTACATTCATTGCTGGTACTGAAACCAGCGCTTTTGAATTTGTGCTTTTTTCCATTGAAGTGTCAGTAGGAGAGGGTGCTGAATCATGGTCACTTTCAATACAATCTTCTAAATTGTTCACATGGGGCTCAGGAGAACCAGCACAACTGCCCTGATGTACCACACCAGTAGCAGGAGGATACCTGATCAAGAACATTAAACCATAAGCTGATTAGCAACTGGCTTGATCCTTTGGATTTGGGTGAAGCTAAAGAGACCATATTCAACCACACCAGAATATGCTACTGTCTCAATCCAAAATTTGAGAGCTATTAGAAACATAAATTATACCCATATTATTATGTAACATAAAAACAATACTGCCTTTAACTCTCCCTAGCATCAGACTCTATTTCTTTACAAATTACCTTACTTTACGTCAAATCTGCTAAACATTATAAACAAAGCCACCAATTAACGCATCTGAAAGCACCATAGAAGTCCACTCCCTAGGTCTAAAGGACATCATTGACAGCAAGTCACTTTCGCAATCTTGATTCCAAAAAAAAAAAAATTGGGTGCTTATTAACTAAGGTTTCTTGGTCTCCATTTCTTTTTGTTTGTCTCCCGAGAAAAAGAAAAGCTACTTCTTAAAACCTGAAAGACTGATTTCTAAATTGGTCAGAGCACTTTCAATTACCTGCTTATAGGCTGTGGTGTGTCACATTGAAGTAGAAAGGGAGAATCTCCAGGGCACAACGAATGGGGAGTTTGTGAAGGATTAGGCTCCAAGCAAAAACCCAAAGCATCCAACTGGTCATTGTGAGAAATCCCAGTCTGCTGTAAAGTCTTATTGTCATCCCTAACCTTCTTTCCTTGAAGAAGCACACCAACACGTAATCCACCACCAAGTATAGCAGTCACAGCCTCCATAACAGTCCTCTACAGAGCACATATCATTAGAATACACAATAGAGACCAAGTATCTAATGAAAGAGGTCTACCATTCACACGGCAAATTTTATCAAACAACCCATATAAGGATTTGGTAGTATAGAGCATGGATAAACACATACATAAACATAGAAATAGATACATGCCAACACTGTTGCAAGACTTGACAACACACCTGAGCTGTACAAATAATAAAACTTGAGCATGCATATGCAATGCATCTGTCAAAGTTATCATAACCAAGGATCGATACCTTCAATGAGCCAACAGTTGAACTTTCTGGAATCTCAATAAGAAGCTCTGGCACCCTGAAAGACTTGATCCTGAGCTTCACTGAGGAAAAGAAAGGACACCTTCTCATAAGAACCTCTTTGAATGTCAGACACCAAATAATTCAAAAGAGTACATATCAATCACTCCATTAATGGTTCTCTTACCGTGAGAATCCCTACGTTGGAATGAAGTGTGTTGACCCGCAAAGGAAGATGATCCCCCAGTGGCTGCTTAAGAATTAGGATTATTTATCAAATGCTTACAGAGGACCATAAATCCCAGAATCTAATGCAAATATTAGAACAAAAAATCAAGTAAAGAGACCTCCATGCATTCTTGAAGAGGAGCCAGAAGCAACTCCATGGCTGCCCTTTTGAGGTGAATCAGAAGCAAACTCACAACTCATTCCTCCATCAGAATTTGATGGTGAACTATAGGCAAAGTACTTCCTTTTTTTGAAAGGATATATCCTTTCAGACCTTTGATGTCTGTAATAGTTCTTCCTCTTGCGGAAAACAGGCTTCAAATCCCCATCTAGATGCATCAGAAAATTTCCATTTAAAAACAACCAACAATTTATCTTCGATCATGATACAAACAAGGAACACAAATCAGCAGCATGTAAAACCACTTACCAGAATTAAGAGTAGCATCCTTCAACCTTGGAGCTACTTTCCAGTATTTAGAAGCCAAAATTTTCCTTATTCTTCGATCTCCAATACGTGGTGCTGGCCTAAAGATTTTTTTGTGGTGATAGGGTGAGTACACCCAGAGGAGTTTTCGTCATCATCTCTACTAACTACATTTACATCATCCCGATTTGTGGGATAAGAACTATTGGGAATATGGTTCCCACACAGAGGCACATTGGCATTACTATCTGAACTGACTAGTGCATGAGGTTTTGCATCCAGGACCACGGGATCCTCTAAACTGCACATATTAGCTGCAGTACTACTTAGCACCATCCCAGCCTTATGAGGCCCATCTTTCACTGCTCTTTTCGCTTCCACCTCTAATTTACCGTCACCAAATTCTCTGTACCCAGAGGAACCTCCATCTACTTTGCTGGCAAAAGTTCCTATTTCATTCTTGTTTTTTCCATTCTCCAACTTCTCAGCATTACACCTCTCTGCAGATTCCGAATTTGTTAGTGGAGAAGCCAATCCTAAATTGAGGCCATTCTGAGCGGCCGGAGATTCCTTAAAACTGCAAACTTGTCGATGAACTTGTGATAGATCAGAAACAAAGAAATTCCTGGCAGCACTTCCCTGATCACAAGCTTCTACTTTCAAAGGTTTTTCTTCATCCTGCCATTCATTTTTTACAGCACTATTAACAACTGCAAACTGATCTTTGTCTGCTGATGTATTACTAGAACTGGGAGCACTTTCTTTATCAAGCAATAACTTTCCAGCTACAATGGCCAATAAGTCAAACGCACACATCTGATTCTCTTCATGTTTCTTCTTAAAGGAACCCCTCCTCTAAACAAACAAACAAAGACTATGAAATTTGGTAACTGGAGGGAAAATAAAAGGAAAGGAAAAATATAATTGGAACATCTGGCATCCCAAGAAAGTAGAACACATTACCCTAGTTGATCTGGTAGCTCGGGGCACAGGAGGAACCTGATAGCCATTGAATCCGTAATCCAATCTCTTCTGCAACACCATACTCAGATATCATACCAAAAAGGACACATCACGTACAGAGTAACAGCATTTGTGGTTCCAATTTCAGAAAATGCACAATTTGCCCAGTCAATCAGGCTTTCAAATCCCAACAATAAAACCCTGGCAGCAAATGAACACAATCATCAAGAGATGACTTATTCAATGAATGGAATGAAAAACTGATCATTAGGTACAAAACAAAAATCCATGGCTACAAAGTTCAACACCAGAACATAAACTTTAAAAAGAAGTGGAAAGAAAAAGACTAGGATAAAAAGAGCTCTCTCTACCAGAAAATTTAGAATGTAAAAATTAAACACATATACCAGAATCAAACAAGAGAAAAATCCTTAAAATCCTGCATGCAAAATATCCAAAAAAAAAAAAAAAAGGCCACTGCATTCAGCTGCTTGGTTACAATAATTCTTTCTTCTGGTATGAATAAACACTTATGGATTTGTTAATTGCAAACTTGCATCAGAATTTTGGCATCTGATCATGATTTTAAGTCCCATAGGCTATATCCCTTGCAACCCAACTAAACCCATCCAGAATCCACCACACACAAGCACAAAACTTAGAAAAATTGCCTAATCATATCCTCATGACCTACCAAAAACAGCAAGTACACAACAAAAATAACCAGATAAACCACGAAAAAAAATACATATTTGAGGAAAAATGTTACAAGGAAAAAGCATGAAAAATTCTCAGGGATCAATAAACTAAAACCAAATTTATACATAAAAACGGGGAAAAAAAAATCGAGACTTGATGTCGTATTTGGGATATCAAAATTTTAACTTTTAGATGACAAGTGTACAATTATAAAAAAAAAAAAAATCTAAAACCACAACAAAACCCTGATATCTAGGATCCAAGTAACGGAATTCCGAAAACTGAAATTCAGACACCTAAGAAGGAAATTCAGGGCAATTCAGACCAAATGAATTCAGAGGATCTAAAACCCTCAGCAAGGATCAACCTTACAGAAAACAAAATAATATTAAGAAATGAATCTTTATCATCACCTCTTCAGTTTAAAGGAGAAATTCTGTATTTTTTAAACAAAAAAAAAAAAAATCTTTTTAACGATAAATCACTCAATAAATCTCAGATCGAATCCGTTGAAAAGAGAATTGTAGTCTTAAACGCAAATCCATAAAGAATCTCTGTGAAAGAACAAAGAGAGAGAGAGCGAGAGAGACATGAATTGTAGGCAACAAAAGAAACCCGCTTAATGTTTCAGATTAAGTAAAGGAAAACGAGAGAAAAAGTTCAAAACTTCGATCCATATATGAGTAATTTTGGCTTCGAATTTCCCTTCAAAATCCCATTTTACATCAACCAAACAAAACAAAGCACAGTGTCATTGGAGGACAAAAAACTCTTCAAAACGTCAAAACCCACATTAAAAACACCAATTTTCACACAATTGGTGAAACAAAATCCATGAGAGAATTCAAAATGTCACTCACCTCGTATCAAACAGTCAAAATTCTCTTGTTTTTCTGATTTAAGTCCACCCCCCTTTTTTTTGTCTGTGCAGAAAGAAGGAAATTCTGAGGGAGAATTTAGAGGAAAAAGCAAAGATCAAAGAAGAAAGCACAATTCTCTAGTCCCTTACGCGACAACTTTCTTTCTCTCTGTTTCTCTCATTTTCTATCCCATGTTTTTCTTTCACCAAGAAAACGTTGTTCTTTTAAACGCTACCCAATTTTTTTTATTTGTCTGCCTCTCTCTCAAAAATAAATACTCTCTCTCTCTCTCTCTCTCCCTCCCTATCCCTTATTGCAAAACCCTCTAAAACCACCCAACTTTTTGCTTAAACCCCAGTTCTTATACCATTGACCCTTGGCTACCGGACCTATTGGTTAGTGCTTCCAAATGACTTGCTATAGCCAGTAACGGAAACTACCTAAAGACCGGTTCTTCGTGATTGGTTTACCCATCTTTGGCATTCTATCATCCACACGAAGGAGAAAAACATTGCGCTCTCTCTCTCTCTCTCTCTTTTTTTTTTTTTTTTTGAATTTGTTTGGTGGTGCCACAAATTCACTCATCCATTTGTATTTTGTTTCCTTATATAGGCAATTTCTAAAGTTGTCTCCACGTCAAAATTCTATCAATTTCTTTTTCGTATGATACAAAATGTATATTAAGGAAACTTGTTCAAATTTTATCCTCTAAATATGGCAAGTATAACTATATCCAAACAATTTATTATCAAAACAATTTATTATCAAATCTAAATCTAAATAATTTATTATCAAATAAATCCATCCTAAATAAAACAGAAAAAAAAAATCAATGTGCTGACTTTGCTATGAAAGTGTCAGGGTAATGAATTCTTCAATTATTAATTGTCTTTTGTTATTATGCATCACCAAAGGGAATTCTTAATTTGCAAACAAGTAGGGTTTTTTATTGGATAATCAAAGTATATTCAAATGAGATTTATATTTGAGTCTAGATTTTATATTATTTTTATTTTGAACTTATCAGTAAGTACATTCATAAGATTTTTTTTTTTCAAAATCCTTCTTAGCAATTCAATGTTGCATAAGAATATAAAAAAAAAACTCATATATGGTTTATTATAAATGAAAATTGATCTAATATTACGTGATCCTTTAATTTTACATATAGCTTTAAATTAAGGATTGGTTATAGTTTTTTTCCCTTTCGTCTATCAAATTTAACTATAGATCGAAATAAATCTTCAAATTAGATGCAACTGAATAATAACAAATTAGTGATATAAGTTGGCTAGGAATTTTGAAGCTTATCGAAATTTCTCCCATTTAATTGAAAAATAATCTAAAATTTTATGCTATCAAAATTAGAATGCATTGACGGACTAACCTATAATTTAGCAATGCTTTTATAAAAATAAAAAAATAAAGTCTCGAGTTAGAATTTCAGTTTGTTGGATCCAAAAAACATTAGAGTATAACAATTACTGTAAAACCTTATAATTAGGTAAAATGTGGAATCCCAACATTCATGTTCTTTTTTCCATCGTTATATAAATATAGATTACAATTTTTATTTTTATTTTTTTCCTCTTCTTGAGAAAAAGGTTTAATTACAAGTCTAAATGCAAAAGAGAACTGGTCCGATTTGTCCGAACCAGTTTTATGACCGCACGTTTTGGTTTGTAGGCCTAGAGACTGGGGAAAACTCGTAAGTTACAGTCAGCTTCTGAATAGCTTGCGTCGGTTATTCTTCACGTGTCTACAGATCCAAACGCCTTTCTTTTTTTTTTTTTTTACTTCATTGTCTAATCAGATGGCAAGGATCATCTCTCACAGATCTAAAATTAAAAGGGTCAATCAAGGGCATATTGGTCATTTCCAACAAACGTAAACGATCCGTAAGTTGTTGTAAGGATTCAAGCAGTTATCCCGATTCGCATGTTACGCACTTTTTCAGTTCTTTTTCTTTGAAAGAAACAAAAACTTGTGGCCTGTTTTTTTAAGTCCTTGCCAGGTAGATAATAAAAATTAAAAAGAAAACATCAGTTTCATACGTGGCAAAAGAGGAGGTCCTTATTGGTTGCTTTTTGGTCAGTATTATCTGAGACGGAATTAAATTAAAGTAATAAAAATAATTTTAAAAACATTGCTGTGGTGGGCTGGGCACTACAAACAAGTGAAGGTAAGAGGGGGAATCTCCGTTAGAGATAACGTTGACGGAGGGCTTGCGTGGAAGGTCCAGAGCCAAGATAGGTTAACGGCGTAGAGTTCGGGGATAAGGGGTGGGGGGTTTATGGTGGGACCGAGAGTGGTGGTGGGCTTGAAAGATAAAAAATTGTTTCTATCCAAATTTTGGTCCTAAAAACAATAACTTCTGTCGAAAAAAAACAGGGGCTCCATATTTTGACGAGAAAACCGACACGTGTATGAGAGAAGGCCGGATTGCCAAGGGAGAAGATCAATGGTGTTTGGGGGGAGTTTAGGCCTTTGGCAGGGTTTAATTCGCAACTTGATGGTGTTTAATACGTTTTAGGACAATAGACGTGAGGATAATTGTGACACGTGGAAGAGCAGGAATGGCTCCACACTACAAAATTTATTTTCTCACGCCGATTGTTTAGTTAAAAGGGGTAGTTAAGTACGCCTGGTGGGGAGGGTTGGTGGGTTATGAGAGGGTTGTGGTGTGGATGTTAGGCTTCGCAAATCACAAACGTGTACCTTTCTCTCACGTGGCAAAGCGTGGAATTAGTGATAATCTAGTTTTATGGTAACCAACATAGGATAGGTACACTTTAAAAAAAAAACACATGAGATAAATAAACTTGGAATAAATAATTTCAAAAATTACTTTTTTTTTGTGGGATATTTTGAGTCATTCTCTATAGAGTGATTATGCCAAATTTACAAAGTATGCTGGTAGGATAAAATTCGATCCCCTAAAAACCCTTACATGAACCTTTTGATACATACAATCTGACAAAAAAATCATGGCATTGCAAATGCATCCTTGCAAAAAAAAAAAAAAAAAATTCAAGTTTTTAGTCAACGTAAAACTAATACATACATATAGTTTAAAAGGAAATTAACAAATATTTATAAATTAGGATAAATAAATAAAACATATCATTTGGACTTTTGGATTTAGATTGTGTTTAGTTGGAGGTTAAGATTTGGAAAATAAATATTAGGGATGGAGAGTTAAGCTATAAAAGGGGAAATTTAAGAATGAAATACTAATGATGTTATATATATAATATGATGTATGAAATATTAATTAAGTTTAAAATACGAACAATGTGTATTAATGGGATCCAAAAGACACGTGTTGATAAGAGAGAGAGAGAGAGAGAGGAGAGAAATCAAGTGTGAGTTTGCATAAAAAATAGATTGGCACAAATTCTAAAAGTTTTCCTTTTTGACATTCCCCACACCCCCTCGCTAAGCTAACACTTAAACCCTTTTTAATTTTTCTTCATAATAGCACCAAACAAAGTTAGGGTAGGAGATTGAATGTAAGTTTAATCTTAAACCAAACCAAACACGATTTTAGATTTAAAATTTTATCCTCTCTCTTTCGATCTCTTCTTTTAATAAATCCTCACTTCCATCAATGATTTTCTCAGGTTTTTTTTTTCCATGTAGCTTAATTTCATTCTACGCCCAATGAGTGTGTGTGAGTGATGGATGGAATAAAAACGATGGGACAAAGTTTACTGTATTGGATTTTTAGTTTTTTTCTTTTTTTCCTAGTTCATCTAAATGTCCAATAAACTTTTAACAAAATAATAAGGTAGTCTCAGCTTATTTTAAATTCCGTTCTACTTCGGGATGGTTTCATGCGCGGAGTTGCGGTCATGACATTTTGCTCAAAACACCGAACGCTATTCTTTTTAACGTTGATTACTAATTTTTTGAGTGTGGAGCCTATAAAGGGCCGACACTCAGAACGCCAACTCTAGAGAAGTCTCACTTTGGAGCTTCTCCCATGTTTTCTTTGTTCTTTTTAGTACAATATATCAATATACATATAATAAAGTCACATTTAACTGCATGTATTATCTAAATACTTTTTTTTTCTATTCACAATAATCGCTACCGTTATAACTACCGCTATAATCATCTCTACAATAACAGCTAATTTTTAAATCAAAAAATATTTCTTCTAATGTTTTGAATTTTAAGAGTATTTGAAATTCCACGCCTTAACGTTCAAGTGTTCCTTTGGAAACTAGATTTTCAGTAATTGACATAACACGACAAAAAAACATTTCTAGAAATCACAGAGGTGAGATATAATTCTTAAAATTACGATAAAAAAGAAATCTACATTTCAATCTTATCTCCAAGGAAGTGATTCCTGGAAAAGGAGAAATTATGGCAACATATATTACAAAAAAAAAAAACACTAAAAAAAAAGTTAAATTTCTGTGCGTTTCACTGTAGATGCACCCTCATTAATCATTATCACGGATTCAAACTCGTTTATACTGTGCAATTTCACTTTTTACCATAAAAGTTTTCCGTTGGTCCTCTGAGTTTAGGAATTTTTTTCTAGTCCAGAACTTCATTTATTTTTCAGTCTTATCATTGGATACCCATAAGAAAGAGGAATAAAGAGGGAGAGACAGGGGGAGAGTGAGGGGTTAGTGAGATCTATTTTGGCTATCTTGATGGTCAAAATTGCTTTCCATTTGTTCATATTCAAGAGAATAATTTATTTATAGTGGTAATGAATTATTAAACAATTAAAAAAAAGATAGATTGAGGTTACAAATTTTTTAAAATTTTTTTATTTTTATTTGAATTTTGATGTATTTTATAAGCATTTAAATAGATTTTGAAACATTAAAAAAGTTTATGAATCTTATTTATGTGTTTTTGAGATTTTTGTTTTCGATCAACTAGAGCTACTGGAGATTGCAAACAACCCATATGTTATTTGTCTAATATGGAGAGGAGGGTGTGTCGTCCGTCTTCCATTTTTTTTTAACATGCTTTGCCTTCTGCGGGCTTAGAAGCAAGCCCAGCTGCGTGGAGCTGTGTTATAGTTGTTTTTTTATATATATAATTTATTTTCATATTTTTATTAAGATTTTTTATGTAAAAATTCTGAAATATAGGACCTTGTTTTTTATGTTTTCCATGTAGCATTGTGATATATATATATATATATATATATAT